TAACGACATGCTCAGGGTGGGTTGCCCAGCTGCTTCTCTGGGCTGAGGGTGGGTGAACAGGGCCACCTACCTGCTTCCCAGGGGTTCCACCTCATGGGTGGACTACCTAGATGTTTCCCAGGGCTGTGGGAGGTTGGAAAGGTCCACCTGGATGGTTCACAGGGCTGAACTGGCTGAGCTGCTGGAAATTGTTTCACAGGACCCCTAGGAGACAGGGTCTCAATATGACAGTGTGCAGAAGGAACCTGGGTTGAGGGGAGGGTGCAACTTGGACTGGATTCTTTCTTCATGTCCAGTAGCTCTCTAGACTGGGTTCAGGGTCTGTGAGGGTTGCAGGCTTCTAAAGCAACTTCATATAGTCCCAGTGTTAGTAGGGACTTCTGGGAGTTGCCTGTATACGCCTTCCCCACCAAGAAAAGTCCCTCTTGGTTCAGCGTTGGTCTGACTAGAAAGGTGGAATAATGGTGACCGTGTGCTTATTTTCCTTCTTTGTAAGGCCATTGTGCATGTGCAAACTCTGCCACATCCCCTCTGTATTTGGGAATTTTGTCTCAAACTCTCCAGTAGACAGTTTCTTTTTTATGGTGGTCTTTTTTTTTTGTAGAGGGAAAAGTACCAGGCACCTCCAATCTTACTAAGTTATGGCCTAGTAGAAAGATCCTGAGGGGGCTGTGAAAGTCTCTGATGCTCTGATCAGGTTTTCATTTTAATTAGACAGCAGGACCTGCTTCTTGGAAGCCTCCACTAGTGTTTCCGCCCTCTTCTGTGCCTAGTGCCAAGCCTAGAACTTATTTTCCTTTCTCCCAGGGATAAACATTTCTTCCCTGTTTTCCTCCCCCACCAGTTGCAATGGATTTCCAAAGTTCCCTAAGAATACACGTTTGTTTCCACTCTCCTTGCAGATTAAGCATTCTGTTTCACAGGAGAGATAGGATGGATGAGTCCAGGCAACTTTTGGTGGTGACTGTTATTCCCCTCATCCAGCCAGGAAAAGTTTCTCAAGACTTCCTTCAATTTTCCTTATGAGTTCCTGGGTAGAATGCTTACAGAGAAACCCCCTCACAAAGGTATGAACTCCAAGGAGTTCATTGTATCACAGAAGCCCCATGATCAGCTTTCAGCAACATATTAAAATTTTCTAGCTATGTTTGTTACTGGCTTATGTGGCATCTGGAAGAGACTGCTCCAGGTAATGAAGTACTTGGGCCCATTTTTCCATATTTGAAACTGTGTCTTCCCAAATTTTGCTAAATTTTTGCCCTGTGACTTCAGTTCTAAGGATTGAAAAAACTGTTAGTTTGCATTTTGTCCAGAACCTTCGTATTGTAAGGGTAGGAAGGACCCTTTCTAGCTCTTTACATCTTTGTGAAGCCAGAATTAATCTATATAATTTTCCATATACAATTTCTAAAATTCAACCAAAAATAATCAGACCCAAGAGGTTTTGTATATAAGGTCAATATGCAAAATCAACTGTTTATCTAAATAGCAACAATAAATATTAGAAAATAAAAAATGTTAAACATCAGTAGAATAAATAATTTAAAAATCAGTTCACCAATCAGTATCATTTAGAGAGCAAAAAGCCACAAATTGGAAGAAGATATTTTTAATATATATAGCCCCAATATGTATATATCTTACATGTCAATGCTATGTAAGAAATTCCTTCAAAGGAAAATAAGAAAAAGATAGGAAACTGAATAGAAAGACAAACAAAAATCTCTACCAACCCCCCAAAAAAGAAAATCTAAAAGTTCAAAAATCTAATAATTGTATGAAAAAGCACTAAACTTCATTAGTTATTATGGAAATGCAAATTAAACCACAGTGAAGTAACACACCCCTCCTGTATAGCTACTATAGAAAATTCTATTGATTCCAAGTGTTGTCAAGTTGTAGAACACCTAAAAATCTCAAACACAGCTGGTTTGAGAAAAATCATTGGCATGTCTAATAAGATTGAAGTTATAGTACTATATTGGTTAGCCATTGTTGCATAACCAGTCACCCCAAGATTTGAAAACAACATCTATTCTGTCACTGCTTCTGTGTGTCATGATTTGAGAGCCGCTTAGCATATATACTTCTGGCTTAGAGTCTCTGGTGAGATTGCAACCAAGATGTCAGCTCTTCTGAAGACTCGACTGTAACTGCAAATCTTGTTTTCAAGATGATTCACTCACATGACTATTGGCAGCAGGCCTTAGTTTCTCATCTTGCAGCCCTCTCTATAGAACTACTTGAATGTTCCCCTTACATGGCCTCCCCCAAACAGGGAAAGAAAGAAGCTATAATGCCTTTATGACTTAGTGTTGGAAGTAATTCATTGTGACTTCTGCTATTCTGTTCATTAGAAGTGAGTGAGTCATTAAGTACAACTCACACGTGAGAGTCATGGAATTACTTTCCACCTCTTGAAGGGAGGAGGGCTAAAAAATTTATGGCTATGTCTTAAAATCACCACACATCCTGTGACCCAACAATTTCACTCTGAGCTACAGAAGAAAATTGTATGGGCCGGTGGCCCCCAAAACATGTACAAGAATGTTTAGTCAAGTAATAGAAACAAATCAAAATAGCATGGGTAAATAAATTTAGTATAGTCTAACACAATGGAATACTACTCAGAAATGAAAATAAACTATAAATACATCCAAAAACATGGATGAACCTTCCTAACATATAATTGGACAAATGGGACAAACTCAAAAATGTATACCAGATTATTTCTTTTATATAGATGTCCAAAGGAGGCAAAACCAATTTACAATGCAAGAAATCAAGACAGTAGTTATCTTTAAGGAAGAAGCCTTTGGAATGGCAATACTGTTCTATATCTTGCCCAGAGCGGTGGTTACAAAGGTGTTTTTATATCAGAGCAGTTCATTGACTCGAACATGTTTGATATGCGTATATTTTGGAATTGTCTTATTCTTTACTTTTCAAAGGTTTTTAAGGAAAGGTCTCTCAAGGAAAGAAAGAAAAAATAAACACTGTTTGGGAAAACCAAAATAGGGTTATGTGCTGGATTTGGCATGCAAATAACCAATTTGTAATTTTTGATTTAGACCAGGGATAGTGTCTTGGTTTGTTTGGGTTGCTACATAAAAAAAGAACTACCATAAATTCGATGGCTTATAGACAACAACAATTTATTTCTCTAAGTTCTGAAGGCTGGGAATTCCAAGATCTAGGTGTTAGCAGATTTGATGTCTGATGAGGGCCTATTTCCCAGTTCAAAGATGACCATATTCTTACAGAATCTTCACATGGCGAAAAGGGCAAGGGAGCTCTCTGGGAGCTCTCTGGGGGTCTCCCTTAAAAGGGCACTAATCCCATTCATGCGGATTTCCTCTTCATGGCCTAATCACCTCCCAAACACCCCCATATCCAAACACTATCACATTAGGTAGTAGGTTTCAACATATGAGTTTTGTGGGGATATAGACATGCCGTATGCAGCAATTGGCAAATAGAATCTCCAGAAGGCCTCCAAGCACATTGCTTGTGGTAGGCTTTGGTGGTACACCAGTCTATTCCTGTAGAATTTAACACTGTAGAATGTTAGTTCTGGAAACGACCTTTTGGATCATTTGGTCCAGCAACTTTTCAAACCAATTTCTAGCAGAATGTCAGAACTTCTCAGAACAGATCTACCTAACCACCTGGTGTTACAAATAAAGAAACTGAGGTTTAAAGAGACTATGTTACTTGTTTAGGGTGATATAGCTCCCATTAGAATGTACCAGGAGTATGTAATGCGGTGCTGGTGGAGAAGGAAGGAAAAAGAAAAGTTATACATCTCAGGGTCATGCTCTTTGGAGTAGAAACTCTCCTATTTTCTCAGTATAGATGGAGGCAGAGCAGAGTTGCCAAAGAGAGCTGAGATAGGAAATGTATTGGAAAGTGTTCCATTTAGGGACTGCCCAGGGGAATGCCCTATTTGGTCATATATACGTGGGGCATTTCTCTCATTCAGCTCATTCTCTAAATAGATTCTCAACTCTGGCTGCACATTAGAACCACCTGGGAACTTTTTTAAAAATACAGTTTCCTGGGTCTCCCCATAGACTGAATCATTCTATCTGGAGTGCGGTAGAAGAACTGGATATTCTGACCCTTCTCAAGCTTTACTGAAAAGCGTACAAACTGAGCTCTTATCAGAGGGGCTCTGAGTCCCAAGAGCATACTGGTTCTTGTCAAAAAAGTAAGAAATGCCAGAGGGGAAAAAATTCCCCTTGCTCTCTTGTTCCAGGTTGGGTTTACAAAGATAATGGAAAGAAAACCACTAGAACCAACCTATCCATGGGTTGGATTCCTCTCTTTTCTCTCTCTCTCTCTCTCTCTCTCTCTCTCTCTCTCTCTCTCTTTCTCTCTCTTTCTCTCTCTCTCTCTCTCTGTTGTCAAAGATAGGGGCAGCTCTTTGCCTTCATTACTATAACCTGAATGCTTGGAACCTCTTCTCTGAGGTTCCAACTCTAGTTGGTTAAGCAGCTTTCCATTAATAATTAATATCAACAAATACCTAAGACAAATCAACTTAAAAAGAGGAAATGTTTATTGTGAATCACATTTTGAAGGTTTCATCCCATTACTAATTGGCTACATTGCTTTGGGCTTGGAGTAGCTAAGCACACTATGGAGCAAATTACTCATCTCATGGTGGGGAAACATTAGAGAGAAATAAGAGGCAGGGTCCCCCACCCCTTAATGGCTCAATGATCTCCCATTAGGCCCCACCTCTTAAAGTTTCTACAACTTCCCTATATCACCACTCTGGGGATCATGCCCTTAAAATAAGTGGGCCTTTGGGGGACAATATCCAGACTACAGCATCTAGGAATGCCACTCCCATTTGTTCCTGATTTCTCTCCCTCTAAGAAAATATTAGGCTTTACCTGGCAAGTGCAAAGTTCCTTGGTTTCAAGCATGGCCATTGGCAGAGCATATGTAATCATCATCTCTGTTTAGAATAATTGAATCCCAGAGGTAAAAGGGCCAAAAAGGTTACCATATCCAGTTCTCCATCTTATAGATGAAAGCATTCTAGGACAAAAGTGACTTCTGTAGTCAGTGGAAATGTCAAGCAACATTCTATACTGATTCTTTTCTTTCCTACCTCAGCCTCCCAAGTTCTGGGACAGGAATGTTCCCCTATACTTATTCTAAACCCAGTGTTCACTCTTTTTTTGTGAACAAAAGAGGGGGAAGCTGTACCTCATGCTTGTAAGGCTGGTGCTCTACCACTTGAGCCATACCCCCAATCCCTCATATATTTTTAAAAAAATAAAATGCTGAAGAGTCAGCTAACATCTCCCCTGGGTCCATTTCTTCTCTTTCATTCCTCCGCAGAAGTAATAAACTCAGGGCTTCACTCTTGCAAGGCAGGCACGCCACTGCTTGAGTCACACCTCCTGTTCAATTTGCTCTGGTTAATTTAAACATGGTTTCACACTGTTTGCCTGGGCTGGCCTCAAACTGTGATCCTTCCAATCTTAGTCTCCCAAGTAGCTAGGGTTACAGATGGGAGCTACTGGTGCCTGGTTTAAGATAACTTTTTTTTTTTTTTGGCGAGCTGGGGTTTGAACTCAGGGCTTCACACTTTCAAAGTATTTACACTACCCCTTGAGCCACACTGCCAGTCTTTGTTTTGTTTCTTGACATGCTACTATAATCTTTTGCAACTTCTTTATTTATAAAAGTTTATTTTAATATCTGCCCATGTTATAGACCTTGTTAGTTCATTCTAATAGCTTCATGTTATCTTATTCCAAGAATAAACAGTACCCTATTTGTTGATTACCCCCGATGGAAAGTTGTTTTGGTTTTGCACAAATCGCTTTGCAATGAGCATCCCTCGCACATGTGTCTATATGCAGAAGAATCAGTTTTTCTATAGCATGGAGGCCTAGAAGGGAAATCACAAAGTCCTAGGTATGTACCCTAGGACCCTTCTCACACCTTTACCAACACTTGGCTAGCTCAATTTTTTTTTTTTTTTTTTTTTTTTTTGCAATACTGGGGTTTGAACTCAGGGCCTCCCACTTGCTAAGCAGGAGCTCTACCACTTGAGCTCCTTTGCCCATATTTTTATATTTTAGTCAGTTCAATGTATATGAAAGGCACTTACTATTTTAGTTTACACTATCCTGATCACTGGTCCAATTTGAGCATCTTTTAATATGTTTAATAGTGGGTCAGATTGTCTCTTATGTGAATTGCCTGTTCATCTGACTTACTGTTGGGTTATTTCTCTCCTACTGATTTTTAGTCCTTATATATTCTATTTGTAACTTTTTTGCCTTTTTCTTTTTTCTCTTATTAGCAAATATGAATTGTAAAGGAGTTTCATTGTAATATTTCCATATATGCATCTTATGCACTTTGATAAAATTAACCCCCTATATTACTCCTTAACATCCTCATTCCCCTCCTTTTAGAACAATTTTAAATAGATCTCATTATTCTATTTTTATACATGCATATGAAGTACTTTGATTATATTCACACCCTTCACCCTTTTTTTGCCTTTTTATTGCATAGCAAATATCTTTTCGTAGTTTATGACTTGATTGTTCATTTTGTTTATGTTGCCTCTTGTTTATATAGCTTTATAATTTATTCTATCCAAATGGGAAAGACAAAATGTTTTTCTTTGTATTTTTACACAATACTTCCTTTCTGACATCAGACATATGGGTATTTTTCCTACATGTGGGTATTTTCTCTGAAAATACTGAGTAGACATCCTACAATTTTACATAATTCTGACACCATCTACCAGGAGATGGAGTCAGATCCCACAGGTTAAGGGCTCAGTCCCACACGATTGCCCTCCCCAACTTCAGACATTAATTGCAAGTAGAAGTTGTCACCTGAGATTCTGATTGTTTGGCTCTAAATCTAAGGTTCCCAGGACTGTCCCTTCTGGCTGGATAATTTGCTGTGATGGTTCATGAAATTCAAGAAAACAGATTACTTACTAGATTATTAGTTCATTGTAAAGAATGCAAATCAGGAACACTCAAATGGAAGAGATGCATAGGACAAGGTAAAAGGGAATGGAGCTCCATGTCTTCTCTGAGCAGAACACCCTTCTGCTACCTCTGCAAGGTCAGCACCTAACAGGCTGCCAAACCTCATTCTTTGGGGGTTTTATGAACTCTTCATTACATAGGCATGACTGATTAAATCATTTGCTGCTGGTGTTTGAATTCACTCTTCCCAATCCTGGAGGTTGGGAGGCAGAAGTTGGAGAAGAGAGACCCTCTCCTCTCCCTGGAGATCAGCATCTCTTCTTGAATAGTTTGTGGTTGTCCCTCTGAATTATAATGCTGTCTCTGTCATATATCTAGGTCCCATCTATGGGAGTCTGCTTCTGGAATCTCTTTTGGGTTCCTCTGGTCTACTTGTCTCTCTGGGTGTCCCCACCATGTTGTTTTCTTTGCTCTAGCTTTGTAGTTTTGCAGTCTGGTGGATCAAACTCCCTTACTTCCTTCTTCTTCAAAATTGTGTTGGTTATTTAGTCCCATAAAAACTCTATTTAATTTTAGGCACTTTGTGAAATTTTGGAAAATTTTTTTCAGAACTATATAGAATTTATTAATTTAGGAAGAATTATCATCCACAGTGATACTCAGTGCTCTTATCCAAGAATGATATATCTTTGGGCTTATTTAGTTGTTTTGAAAATGTTGTCAGTGACTGTTTATGATTTTCTTTGTTAAAATATTCCACATATTTTGGAAAAAAAATTTGTTTATGGATTTATTTCCATTGAAAATGTAGATTTTTAAAGTTATCTCTTCTAAATGCATCTTTTTTTTTTTTGATGGGACTGGGGTTTGAACTCAGGGTTTCACACTTGCAAAACAGGACTTCTACTACGTGAGCCACATCTCCAGTCCTTTTGTTCTGATTATTTTGGAGATAGAGTCTCATGAACTATTTGTCTGGGCTGGCTTCAAACTGTAGTCATCTCTATCTCAGCCTCCCAAGTATCTCAGATTACAGGTGTGATCCACCAGTGCCTGGTATTACAAATATCAGAGACATTAATATATTGACTTAGTTTTCAGCAGATTCTTTTGTTAGTCTTCATATACAATGTTTTCTTTCACATTTTGTATACATAATCATAATATTGTAAATAACAACACCTTTATTCTTTGTTTTCAATCATTTTATTTTAGTTTGTGCTGGTTTTCCAATATAATGTTGAATAGGAGGGGTAATAGTGTACACAATTTTTCTAAAACATCTTTCATTGTATCCTACCATCTTCTACATTAGCCCAACTTCAAAATGAGCTGTTTTGTTATATTCTGCTGACCAAAAACAATAGGTCTCCCAGACCCCACTGACTCAAATCTCCCTGTATAGTTAGAAAGCTCCTACCAACCCCATTCAGATGGTGTCCAGCTATCCATAAGAGTTTTCATTTGATGATGCATTGTTCTTTCTGGTGCAGTGTTCTGAAGCGATTCAAATCATTTTTTTTCTGCATATCTATGTTCTTTAAATGCATCACCATTCATCCAGAGTCAATGGCCAGAGCCTCTATCCTTCTCTCAATCCTCACACTAATTAATCGTCAATCTAGTCAATTCTGCATTTGGAATACCTACCAGAGCATTTTCTGCTCTCCATTCTTAACACCAATGATTGGCTTGGGTCCTTAGTATCTTCCACCTTAGTAACAGATTCACTGCTTTAGATCTCAGTTCCCACCTACCAGTCTTCTCACTACTGCCATGTTTATCTTACTAAAATGCACTACTGATCATGCCACACCCAACTTAAAAGGCTTCATTGACTCCTCATTGTCTACTGAACGAAGTTTTGGTTCTCTAGCTGGTAAAACAAGGCTCTTTATTCACCGTGACTAGCTCTCTAACACGTCAGTCTAGCAAAACTGAAGTGCTTACGGTTCAACTATGCTCATCCCTGGTACACTGATTTTTGTGTATACTGGTGTCTCTACTTGAATTGCTCTGGCAAAGTTTTACTCATTTCAAACTCAAATCAGATGCTACTTCCACCAGGAACTATTGATAAAAAGTTAAACAAATATTTATTGAGTATGTGGCAGGTACTGTGCCTGATGAGAGGCATAGCAAAATGCATAAGAAATAGTCAAAGTCTTCTCGCAGTAGTTAACTGCTTTCAATTTTTCCTTTCCTTTAGCTTTAAGTGCCCAGTGTGTGATTTTTACTTGCATGATTTTTCATTTTCTTTCTTGTGGATCCCACAAATAATTTCTATTCCTTGTAAATGTGCTTAGAAATGGAGAAATACTGCATTATTTTAAATGCCGAGGCACAAGCACTGTATTCAGAAACATTCATAGACAGAGTTTCAATTAGGAAGAGTGATTATAAATGACGAGATCACAGCTCATAACTTTGTAGTCAGGTCCTGGCTCAGTCAACACATAGAACCACATCACGGATTAAGGATATACGGTCTGAAGACAGATTACCTGAACTTGCATTTTAGCTCTGCTACTTATAAACTGGGTAAATAGGAAAGATTCTGGAACTTTGCGTCTCAAGTTTCTCATCTGTAAAATGGAGACAATGATAGTTTCTGTCTCACGGTGTTGTCAAGAGGATTCACACAAAAACAGCTTAGACTCCTACCTAACATGATGTGCTTGTCAGTTGTAGGTACTGGTATTATTTTGTATATGAGGACAGTTGCCCCTCACAGTCATCAGGCCAAGTAACTTTTTACTTCTGTGTCTATCAGACACAGAACTGTTTATTGTTCTGAGCTAAATATAGATTCTTATCTAATCTTCATTGAACCAATGGCACATGTTGGAAGAAGGGTTGACCCAGGAGAGCCCAGGGCTTGAAATTGAGTTCTCCTTTGTGTAGAGATGAATGGCATATGTGTAAAAAAACAAAAACCACATTAGTCACACTGATGGAGTCAACCAGTAAATACAAGTTGAAACATGACTAGATGAGGGTCTGTGTTATAACAGCTAAGAGTACAAGCCTGGAATCAGACTGCCTTACCTCAAATCATCACTTTACTTACTAGCCTGTGACTTTGGGCATGTTATCTTTTTGTATATCAGTTTCTATATCTGTAAACTGAGACTGATAACAACCACTGCTATTTAATGCAGTTATTGCAGTAATTTAATGAGATAATGCAGCAGTAAGAACATTACTTGGTATATAGTACTTGACAAACAGTGAAGAAAAAGGATTTACATAGTAGACAGAAACAGACAGAAAAAAAATTAACCTATGTGTTCACCACAAGAAAAACAGTGGAGGCATTCAACTGAATGAGTAATTTCCAAGAGAAAATAAGAATATTCTAGTTTTAGTTCCATGCTTGCAACAATCTTCATTAAAGTCATTTTTGTTGTTATTTCTGTAGAAGTCTCCAACTTATCCTCCCAATTATGTTCAGACTTTCCAAAATATTTTTCATGGAACATCTGCCCTAAAATACATAGGAGAATAAAGGATATTTCAGTTGAATAACTGGGTAATGGAATTTGCCATATTCCTTTGGAGATTCAAATGTACAGTAACAACCTAAGGGTTTAATAAATCCTAAAAAAAAGTTTCATTTAGTTTAATCAGTATTCAAAGTGATTTGATCCTTTTTTAAATTTTTTTAAGTGAGTCTTTTATTTTGTTTTGTTTTCCATTTTTATTAGGATATATTTATTGCACACAGGGGATTCATTGTGACAATTCTGAACAGCCTTTCATTATATATTGGTTAGATCAAACCCACCATCTACCCCCCAAACCCCTCTATTCCCCACTTAAAGCAATTACAAGAAGTTTCATTGTTCTATTTCATGTAAGTATATGAAGCCCGTCAACCATATTCCCTCACCTTCATCTCTTCCATTCACCCTCCTCTCTCCCACAAACACCCCTCACACACATGTACTGAACCTATTTTGCAGTCTTGTCTTTCATTATTAGTTTCAAAGTGAATGTTCAGAGGGGTTTCTCAAAGTATCCCTACTGTGAGTATACTTCACTTTGGTCAGTTCAACCCCTTCCAAATTGATTTGATCTTAAAGCCTTTTTTCATGTACTGCTTATTAAATTCCATGGGACAAACATGGAAAAATGGTTGCTTAGATGAATAATAAAATGGCCTTTATAAACCAAAGCAGGGCCGAGGGGCATGGGAGGTAAGCGCTAGAAGGTGAGGGCTCATGCTGTTTTTAGTCTAGGATTGAAAAGTTGCTGAGGACAATTCACAAAACCAGAAGGCATACAAATTCCTGAAGGTCACAGACATCCCACTACTACTGCTGCTTCCTCCTGTGGCTGCTAGACTAGGATCCTACCATGGAAGATGTAAAGGTTCCTACACAAAATTTACCATCTGCCTTTGACTACACACTTCCTGAATTTACTTCCTATTTTTCTGGAAGAGAAGAGACTACAAAAAAACATTTAGAATGAAAAGGCCCACTGGGGAAACCAGAGGACAGACCAGGACTGGAGGAGGTTGTTGTTGGTGGTAGTGGGGCTGGGCTGGATTGAGACCACAAGTATACTCTTCTGGATGGAGGTGAGATGAAGGCCACCAGTGGCACCAGTGAAGAGGCCCCTTCACAATAGAGCAGGGCAGGAGATGTGCTTAGGAGAAATAATAGTGACTTCTAATTTCATTGACCAGAATAGGAGCCTCCTGAAACTGTGTTTAATGCATCTCTCTGTTTTGTTGTTGTTGTTTGTGCCAGTACTGAGGTTTGAACTCAGGGCCTTCCACTTGCAAGGCAGGTGCTTTATCACTTGAGACTTGCCCCCAGTCCTTTTTCACTTTGATTATTTTGGGATTAGGATCTGAGTTTTATGCTTCCACAGAGATCCTCCTATTTATGTTTCCTGTGTAGCTGGGATGACAGGCCTATGTCACCACTCCCAACTATTATTGATTAAGATGGGGTACTTTTTGCCCAGACTGTCCTCTGATCTCTAACCCAGATCCTCCTGGATCTCTCTGACTTTCCAGTAGCTAAGATTATAGGATCGAGCCACTGTTCCTGGTTATAATTCTATTCTTGAAGAAAAAGGTGATGGTAGAGGAAAAGGGGAAAGGACTGTGCTTCTTACAGAGGGGGAGGAGAACAGAGTCAATGAAAAGTCTCTGATAAAAGATAGGTATATAAAACGGCCTGCTAGTTCCACAATCCAGTGTCTATGTGACTTTCTAAATTGACGTTATTGGTTGGTGGGTTCCTGAAAGCCAGTGTGCCTTTCTTCTTGTTGGCTTTAGCAACCCACTCACCTCGACGCCCACCCCGTGGTTCCTGCTGTGGAAGACCGGAGCCTAGGATTACATCCTGGGTAGTCTGCTGCAAAGAGACCCTACATGGTTTTTCAAGGTCAAAAGTCAAAACCTTGGCCTCGAGAGGGCTGAGCTCTGAGGGGATGCTGAGTGGTAATGAAGGACAGGAAGAAAAAAAAAGAAAAGAAAAGAAATGCCAATATTAGCAATGCCTACATATGGAGGGTGGGAGAGAGACTTTAAAAAAAGAATCCATCACATTTTCCCCATCATTCTATAATGAACATCTGCTAATAGAGTTGTGAAAAAATTAATTTATGTTTCTAGTTCACACCCCACTTTACAGAATCTTCAGTTTGTAGAAAATCTGAATCAACATTCCATGTGAACATCATTAGGGTGTTTTCAGTGAGGGAGGGGATGTTTTTAAGCATATATGAGGGAAGAAAAATATAATGCAGGGTTGCACCCTAGAAAAGTTAGATCCATATAATTCTAGAGAGGGAGAAATTTATTCTGGGTGAGATTGCCCGAGGAACGTCCTTACTCGCAGAAGGACACGGTGACTGTCTGCAGGCAGGCGGGGCGGGCGGTGGCGGGGAGGAGAGTCACCTGGCAGCGCAGGGGAGCAGGGGAGCGGGGGAGCGGGGTGGGGGGGACGGCAGGTAGGGCAGGTGCCCGCGGTCCCCGGGGAGCCAGGGGCGGAGCAGGAAACCGCGGGCGCGGGGCGGAGCCGCCGGAGCGCCGCAGGTGGATGAGCCGGGGGTGGGGGCACCTGCCTAGGGACCAGAGCCACCGTGCCGTCGTGCTGCAGCCGGCGAGGGGAAACCCGGGGGACTCATTGGGGATGCGTGTCCTGGGGCCTCAGCTGATGAAGAAAGTCACAGAGCCCGGGAGCGCCTGAGCTGAGAGCGGCCGGCATGGGTGCCGAGCTGCCCGCACCCTGGCTGCTACTCTTCACCTGGCTCCCAGCAGGTGAGCAGTGGAAAATATGCGATCCACCCTGGGCCCAGGGAGACAGGAAGCCATTGTTGCCTGGCCTTGCAGAACTGGCCACCCCAGGGCAGCGGAGGCCTGGGCCGCGCTCCCGTGGCTGGCGCTTGGCACCTGCACCAGGAGGTGCGGGCACTGGATCGAGTTTCTGCCTGTGGGAACCTGTTGTTTTTCTATTAGCCCAGGCCTTTCCTAAACAGATGCAACTGAAAAGAAACCCAGAGCCTTTGGACTTCCCCACCAGCGGTCATTAGGTACCTGTCTTTAAAACTGACTCCAGAGAGCCAAAAGCACCGTTCTTAAAATTCCTAATTACTTTTTCCTTTCATCTGATACTTGCTTTCACATTACGGATATGGTGACAACCACATTGGTCTAAAAGTGCATTTATCTCATTCCTGAGAGGTTATAATGCGCCAGTCAGGATAGGTGGGAATTTTCGACACAATTTTTAGTCTATTTTACAGGACCCCAGCATATATATGCCTCTTTGCTAACCAAGTTCAGAGTCACTCACTTCCTTAACTTTATCTGTTGCTCACTGTCTCCCCTTCAGGTGCTCAGCCACCCTCTGCATCTGCTTCATCCTTTTAACCTCCACACTAATCTCCTCTGTACTTTGGAAAGCATGGGTTTGTGTGTCCTAGTGTAGCTCTTGAAAATAGGACAGAACAGTGTGTACGAGAGAGAAAAAACAGGTAGGAAAGGAAAGTAGAGTGAGGGAATGTGCAGGTTCTCTCAGCCCTTCTCAAATTAGGGTGTAGGTGTGACTTTGCAAACAAGAATTTTTAAGTTCCCCTGGAAGTTCCACCTGGTTTTGTTTCTCTTTATCTCTTCTCCCTTTTAGGATTAGCTGTCCTCTTACTTTTATGTTGTCAGTGGAAGGTCAGCTCACAGTGTTCTCACAGATCAATTTGTATCTTGTGTGTTTTGAGGATGAAGGCAGAATTTCCGTTTTATAAGCTTGGTAGGATGTGAGAATTGCTCGGGTGTAACTGAATCTCTCTGAGGCAGGATTCCTCAATAACTTGAGCTAATGTAGAGAATAAAAGGGAGGGAGGATTGCGAAAGGGTAGGATGACTAGAAAATTAATGTCTCCAGATCCCTTTGGCTTACAAGATTTCCTGCAGGCTATCGCTGTTATAAATTGTCTGAAGCTAACATCTATGATGCGTAAGGAAAATGGACTTAACTTCACCTCAATTTAAGTACCTCAGATTCTATCAGAGCAATCATCAGCTTAGACTGTGAAAATGCAAATTCATATAAATCCCACAGCCTTACACAAGTCTTTTCTCCTGAACATTGGATGTTCTTCTCATACTCCACAGCAGCAAGGAATTCTGAAGTTGAGCTTTATTTTTTAGAAAAATAATAAAGGTCTTTTCCCATCTCTGCCCTGGGTACATTATCCTCAAATTAGGACTTCAGAGACAGCAGTTATCTGGATAAATAGGTTAAGAAAAGATGACTTATAGATGCAAATTGTGTTAAGGTATAAATATGAATCCTTAAATCACCAGGGTAATGTTTTTAAATGCTATCTCATGTTTAGGAAGAATATTGAGCACCGAGCATTTTTCTGATATAGTGATTATCAGCAGAGTGTGTTCTTATAGTAAGCAACTTACAGTAAGCAGTAGACTTTTCCAGATTGGGAGGGAGAGAAAGGAAGTAGCAAGAAACCCATTTCAATTCAGTGATTACAACCACAGAGTGTATTCTTTGGTTGAAAACAACTTGCTAAATGGACAGGGACTTCAGAAAGTATGGCTTCACATCTCTATGATCCAGCCACACAATAGTAGCAGCTAGGACAGTGAGATAGGACAATTATGCAGATTGTGGTGTTTACTGGGCATGTTTACTGGCACCAGAGTGTTGAAAGTGAAAAAGTCTTCAGCGAACATCTAAATTCACTTTCATTTCATAGATGAAAAGTTGAGATTTCAACTCCAACACTTTGAGGGGAAATAGACTTTTTGGGGGAAAGGGATGCTGGGCATTGAACCCAGGGCCTTGCACATGCTTGACACGTGCTCTACCACTGAGCTACCTTCCTAGCTCAGAAATGGCTATTTTAGCAGATATTATCCCTGGGTATGTGTAGGAATACAAATAATACTACATTCAGCTATTTAATGTGAATTTGCCTCAGTGATGTTTGTGTGACTCTGGGCAGTCTCTGGTAAGCAGGGATGACAGCAGTACTTATCTCAAGGTTTTTGTGAGGATTAAGTGAATAAAGGTTTTTAAACACTTCACACAGTATCTGCACAAATGAGGGAAGGTCTGATAAATATTAGCCATGGTAATAATGCTAGTCATGATTTAAACGCAACCAGGATTGTTCAAAGCTAACCTTAAAGAAACCCAACTCCTCCTTCCCTGTGGCTAAGAAACCCTGAATCAACAGTGAGATGACTGTTAGTTAGCTTTCCACTACTAAGTAAAATAGTTGAGGCAATCATCTTAAAAAGAGGAAAGGTTTATTTTAGCTCACAGTTTTGGAGTTTTTAGTCCATGGTTGTTGGCTCTGTTGTTTTGGGCCTGTGGCAAGGCAGTACATCATAGTGGGAGCATATGGCAGGAATAGTGAGAGATGGGCAGGAATAAAGAGAGAAAAACAGCAAGGGATAAGATTTCAATATTCCTTTTAAGGACACGCACCCAGAGACTTAAAGCCTCCCACTAGGTACCACTTCATTTTGTGGTTGTTGTTGTTGACAGTATGGGATTTGAACTCAGTGCCTCATGCTTGCTAGGCAGGCAGTCTTCCACTTGAGCCACTCCACCAGCCCTTTGTGTGTGTGTGTGTGTGTGTGTGTGTGTGTGTGTGTGTGTGTGTGTTGGTTATTTTTGAGTTAAGGGCTTGCTTTTTGATCTGTCTGGCCTTGAACCATGATCCTCCTGAACTTTGCCTCCTGAGTACCTAAGATTACAGATGCAAACCACAGGCTTCTGGCCCTATGTCCCACCTCTTAAAAGTTCCACCAGCTCCCAGTGTGCCTTGGGGACCAAGCTTGGACACATGGACATCTAAAAAACACTACAGATTCAAACTATAGCAGGTTACAATTCAGACTCTGCCTCTTATAGCTGTAACTTTTTTGTTACAGCTATAACTCAGGTCTTTGCGCTTACAAAACATATGCTCTACTGCTTGAGCCACACCTTTTAGTCCATTCTGCTCTGGTTATTTTGGAGATGGAGTCTCATGAACTATTTGCTTGGGCTGACCTTGAATCAAGATCCTTCCGATCTCAGCCTGCTGAGTAGGAAGGATTACAGTCGTGAGCTATTGGTGCACCACCAGCTGTAACTTTGGATGAATTACTTAAATTCTTTTCATCTAGAAAACTAATGAAATTCCCGATAAACCTCTTCCTACCAGGACTGCCCTCCATACACCTAGCAAGGTCAACTTTTTTTGGGTGAGTTACAGTGAAGTACTGTGTCTTTGGCACAGTCATCACTAAGGAAAACCTGGAAATGAATCTGTGACTACTGCTCCCACCGTTTTCTTTATTTTTAAACCAAACTTCTCGTAAGTTTGATCTCTTAAGATCAAACTGAGGATGGAACTTCCTGTCTTGTTCCCAGTATCTCTCAAAACAATGCTTTCTGGGTTTTTTTCCTACCACTCCCAGTAACAATTAGAGTTTACAACGTGACATGTTTTCAACTATACACAGTTTATAAAATAGAAACCAAAGGTTCACAAAAAGAAATCTGTTACCATGTTAGGTAAAATAATAATTAACATAAAATATTATTGATATTTAAACTCATAGAAAATAATCCCCACATCAACACTATTAAATAGAAAAATCCAGTAAACTAATTTTCTGAAGACCCACTAGAAATTGTAGCATATGTTTTGGAAAACCCTGTAATTAAGTGTTCATTTTGGTCCATCACATTTTTCTCTTTTTTTAAAGAAGAGTCAACTCGATTCTCTGATTAGCATCCAAGTTCCCACAATTACAAAGTATAGGTCAGTAGTAAAATTGTGACAGATTTCGCTACTTACTGTTTGGTGTGGCTTGGAGCCCCTCTGGGAGGTTCTGAGGTCAGGGCCTCTTACAAAATTCCACAGTCATGATGCTTGAGTTATGTAAAGATCAGTTGCCAGAGGTGGATACTTTGGGTTTTGGTTGGTTGGTTGTTTTGTTTTATTGTTATTGTTTTCTAATTCACTGAAGTTTTTTTCTTTAGGAAGAAATAAATATTTATCATACAAATGATATCTGAATTCTTGTTCCTTAATACAATTTGCTAACATAAGGCTAAAGTAAGTGCCTATAGTTCATTGCATTATTGGTTAATAGCTTTGGTTGCCTTTGTCCAACCTCAGAGTTTATTCTTGGAGTGAAATTTTAGCCTCACTTCCTCCAATTCACATATGCCATTTGTGCTTTTCATAATTTTTCCTTAATATCATAGAGTGGTGTTTTCTTACAAAGCACCAACTATCAACTTCTTTGGAAAATCAGACAGCTGACTTCTAAGAGAAAAGATCCAGAGAGAGAAAGGGAAGGAGGGAGGAAGGGAGGAGTAAAGGGAAGAGGGAGAGAGAAAGAGAGAGAGAGAGAGAGAGAGAGAGAGAGAGAGAGACTGGTTCATAATTTCCCCTGAGTAGTGGGGGTATAGGTGTGGGTCATACTGCAGAATTAGTGAAGTCCTATAGAGATCTCTGACATAGTAAATTGTGAAGTAGAGTTTCTCAGAGTCAGGGGGTATGGATGATAGATGGGAGACTTGCTCACCCAGCTTCTCCCTTGTCCCTTTGAGGGCTCCTGAAGTACCTCCCCAGAATCCCAGTGCCCTGTTATAAATACAGGTAGAAATCACTTCCATCCCTTGTCTTTCCCTCTCAGCCCTTTTCAAAGGTAAGGAAATCTGGTCCAAAGAAGTCCTGTGTCTCAGATTGGCACAGTGGAATTAGTTTGAGAGCTGGGACAAGAACCTGACATTCTCA